GTTTCTAGAAGAGTAATCACATGTGACTATTGAAACTTTTATTTGTAATTATCGGTTCTTCTTGCCCTAGATTTTCACTCTTGCTACCTCAAGAGAATCGAGTCTCTTCAATTTTGATAAGAATACTGTTTTCTTGCAGTTACTCGTATCTCGAGGAAAAATGATAGATTATCATGCAATGAAAATGATCGAACGCGTTAAAATGGCACGTTGCAAGATTGAAACGAGGCTCAAGTGTAATCAAGTGTTTGTACAAAAACCGGTAATTTCCCTTTACGATCCGCTTCTTTAATTACCTTTTTAATTTCGGGATGCTGGAACGGCTCTTATCGCAGGCGTTGGAAAAAGCACGGCTCTCTACGAGGAAAATTTTGCGCCATTACAGGCTGGTTTCATTACTCCTTACTCTCCTCTCTCTCAGTGCTAATGGGAAAATTCAGATAATGCGACATGTCCGGAGATAATTAAGTTTTAAGAATCACCGTAAAGGCGAAAAACACGCGTTCGTAATCGCGTATGCTCGTTTAATAGTCGTTGTAAGCCCGTAGAAGTACCGCAGAATTAATAAAACAATCGCTGTCCGGAATTACGAACGCGAGAATTTATCCCCCGGTAATGCGGGCTCTGTTTATCGGTGTATAATTGTCCTCCGAAAGCCACTTAAATTATTACGCACGTGCATATGAAATCATCCGTTACATATTGCAGTGTCTTTGTGTGAGATGTATATGCTCGATTGGAATAACAATAATTCCAATGAATATTAATAATAATTTTTTAACGCACGGGGTTACAAAAGTGCGACATTTATCGGCTCGAAACGGAATTATTTGTTATAATAAACGGGGTTAACAATCTATATCTGGGGTGCTTTCTAATCTGTAACTTTTAATAATTTTTATAACTGTTTTTTGTTACAAACGCCAGCAATTCACTTTTTATTTATATATCCGCGTCATCTAATCTGCCTTCTACGTCGAGCATTATATCATATCGTTATTTTATACAGGTATTCTCCATGATAACCTAGTTGTGCGCGCTATGACGTCATAAAGCCAGCCGATAAACGATACCGGCAGCGAGAATACGAACGGGCAGCGGCGCTCTGAATAAAACGAGATAATGCTCTCAATATGAAGCATCGACCGGAAAGTTGCAGCGTGCGTGTCAGCTCAATCATAGAAACCGTTGTAATTTCATGGGAAACGGTACTTTGTCGCGTTTTTGAATTTCGAAAACCCACTGGTCAGACAACCCTTCGCCTCTAGCAAAACGCAACGCCTATCACGACCGTCTAATTTAATTAGAGTAATCTCGTTTTGCGAAGTGCATCGCACATGGTAAAAGTCATGCGTTCGCGTTGCCTTAAATCTTTGAGAGAGATGTATGCGCGGTTGTAAATTTCGAGCCATGCTGCGATTCAGCGTTACGCTATACAAATTGTTTCCCCTCGAGTGAAAAAAGCGCGGTAGAGATCAATAAGGGGGATGTCGCGATATTTATTGATGAAGTCCGCTGAACGGGATGCTGCACAAATTCGCCGGATCTACTAAAAAAACGAAACACACGCGAAGGAATGGATCATAATTGTGGAGAAAAATATGATTGGCAGGAAGAGGACTGCTCATGCAGGAGAGATACGTCATAGTTAGACGCCATATATATATATATATATATATATTATATATATATATATATATATATAATATATATATATATATAAGGCTGTCATAAATTTCAATCGATGCCACAAAATACTTCCCTCCCACCTTCCCTTGTTTGACTTGTTATACCTGAATATCCGCGTCAGAGAATGCCCCGAGCTATTCATCTTCTCACGAGCTGTGCAAGCGGCAATTTTGACCGCGAATGGTAGATACATGTGGTTTCCCTCATCCGGCAAAGCGAGATGTACATATTTCAAAAATAATTGGTCAATACTCAATTTGACTCACTTGATCGCATATATTATAATATATAAAAAGGAGAGAGGGATGACTTCGAATTGTCATTAAATTGCTGTCGAATCTATTTGAAATGCGCACACTGTATAATATGTTTGATATATATTTTTTATATACACGGACATTTATTTATTCCGCTCGTGAATTATTGATATCTCGACATCTGTCAATTCAGATAAATGCATTTTATGCGAAATTATCACGTTCGATTTTGACGAAACGTTAATTCATGAAGAGCGATGATATTGATTTGTTTAATAACTTCGTACACATATATTCTCCCTGTTCATTCGCATCGATGACGCGTTGATTAAAACTGTTGCGTAATTATTTTGCTATCTGCTGTTTGGCATTCACGCTCCACGGAAGACACGTGACGAATATTATACGTTCATATAGAACGCACACAACGGAACACCGTCAATCCTCGTCATCTTTTCGAGCGCTCGGCCTGAAATACAATTTCAATTCCAATGAACGAACGGAAAATTAATTTACATGCGTAAGCAGGTAATACTAGAGTGATACAGTGATGACATGTGGAAAATAAATACATTATAATGCTTAATCATATAAACTCGAGCGCGCGATGTCCTTTAAAAGATAACTGTGGTAGATTGCGAGATAAACTATTCAAATTTATTTATGCGCTATTTCTATAATATTTGATATCAAATAGTACTAGTAAATAAAATGTACTATATATTAAATTACTAATTACATAGTAATTTTATACACAAGTGACATCTTTTTATAATGAGCACTTAAAAAATTTAATGAATGAACTACCCGAGAGATTGATGATATTACTTAAATGGCATCGGTGTATTTAAGTACCCATTTAATTAATATGTACTAATTCTACGATTTTTGTACTCTACAATTCCCTAGTTACCAATAAAATGTTTTTGCAATCGAATAATTGTCGCGCTTAACCTTCGATTGAGGAGAGAGCATCGCTTCTAATTGTCGGAAGTGTTAACGCCAATCCATTTCGATCTACAAGCACGTACATCGCAAGCATGAGAGAAGGGCAAATGTCGAGGTATCGGCTATCGGCCATTAAGTGACACTTAATGCCTTCGAGAATGTCGCAACATCGTAAAGGTGTTTGACTTTTCTTTTGATCGGTAACGATTAGTCTGTCCAATCGTTGTCCTTTATTTTGAAAATTTTCTGTAAGCAATTGTCTGCTTTTTTGATAAAACCGAGCGATTAAAATAAATCATTAAAGAAATATAATCGCAGAGAAAAGAATTGTTACAGTCGATATCTAGTAATTGCTGTTTACGCAATACTCTAATCACTTTTCGCAGCTATTATCATAAAATTTATGGACGATATAATACATGATTTCGATTATTTACTTATTTATTATTCATTGGCTCGAGTATTGTATTTTGCATTATTTTATCATCATTAAACTCATAGGAAATTTTGACAGAATAATTATATGCATCAATGGAGACTGATTTACATATATGTAGCTATAAAAACATATTTATCGTTAACATCAAATATTATCGACAAGCATAGATTGACGGAATGATAAAAGCGATACGAGTTTAAATATTTTATCGCATCGAAGTATAATGAAATTAAGATTGGGGTAAGAAATTTGATAGGGAGAAGTGAGAAGCGCGAGTATTTGCGAAAAGTAGACAAGATTCTTTGTCAATAAAGGATGTCTGATGATGAAACGGTGGTTCGTGGTTGCTTCCGCGAGTTGCTTTCAATCGAGTTTCGTTCCGTCTGAATCGTCGATTTGCGTCCCACGCCACTTTTGCTTCTTTGAACGCAAAGTTAATAAGCAGTACCTCGATTTCGTTTTGTCAATCCGAGCCATCGTAATTTAAGGGAGCAGTATCGGGCCAATATCGGACGAAATTAGGTTACTGCCGCCATTTACACGCAATTTAAGAGAAAATTTCTTCTGATACTTTGTAGATCGCACAGTTAGAAACAATTTGAGTTTTGAACTGCAATGTTATTTACAGTCTCTATGGGACAGTCTCTATAACACTCTTCCGTTGTGAATTAAATTTTAAAAGATCGCTAAAATAAGCATCCGGGGACTTATAAATCAGGAAAACTAATTTTTAATGATTTCCCGGTTGTAACAAGCGTATTTATAGTTCTTTTAAAGTAGCTTTGAAAATTATACTAAATCGAAAATGATACTAAAAAATTATAATATGACTTGCTTTAATCTGTGATGATATCAAACAATTTGCAAATAATAAATAATAAATATATCCCAGATCATAAATGCACTTTGTTTGCTTTGAATTTTTAAACAAAATTTTAAATTTTAAATTTCATATGTTTAATTTCACTGTAATTTATACGTCTCCTAGAAATAAAGAAAACGTAAAATTATATTTACAAGAAAACAATTATTATAGAGATTATGTAAAACGAAATTAATTTTCTATCTTGCGCGCGCAACACTTATAATAATTATGTAGAGAACAATTCTAAGAGGATATTTTTTTATTGTTAATTTATCTGTGATAAGAGTGTAATATATTGATGAATTTATATCTTTGCAACCTATGTAAAAAATGTCACGCGCGCCTTAAATGCCCGACCCAGAAAGAGAGAGAAAGAGAGAGTTAATTGCATTAGATCATTTTCTGTTCTGCAAACGCAAACATCGAAGGAAGGCGCGAGGCAGGTGCGCCGGGCATGAAACGAGGGTTAATTCCATCCCCTTCGGCTTCGATTAAACGAATTGCGAGAGTCGGATGTTTCGAGTGCGCGAGATCGATCTTACCGCGTGTTAAAGGGCATAGCTCGCTTCGTACATCGCTTAATTCAACAACAATAGCAAACAGCGTTGTCTCGCTATGCCGCGCCACCCTCGAAAAGGCAGCAGTCCTCTTGACCCTAAAATGACCGCTTCTCATCCTGCATCCACTCTCCCTTCCGCCACTTTCGATCTGAGAGAGAGAGAGAGAGAGAGAGGTAGACAGCGAAACCGGGAGAGGGAAAGAGAGAGGAACTTGACGTAACTATACACGTGCGCACACATACCTACTCTTGTTTCCGCACATCGTCCGCTTTCATCACATCGTCGAGACGTCACGGCATCGCGAGTTCGAGCTGGACGCGATCGAGTTCGTCGAGGAGACCTCGACGTGTGTCGGATCGGTCGAGGCTCGACGAACGGCACTAGGATCTCGTCACAGTACGGCACTTCGACGGCGAATACACGTGTAATACGTGAGGACAATCGGCACAATCTCAGCAGAATTCCGTTTCGCGTTCGATTCACGAGAACGGAAGACGGGAGTCTTATTTCACGAACTTGTATCTCGCAAGTGGAGCCAAGTCAAGCCGAAAATTGCGGTCCGCAAACGAGAGATTCGCCAGATTAAACTCTACCGAATCGGCGCGAGACGAAGCAATCGGATCGCGATCGGCCCGGCTTGGAACTTCGCGCACGTTTCTAATTCTCCGGCTCGTTCGTACAGAAGAACTGTCAAGGCCACGTGACTCGCGAAGAGATATCTCGACGTTACATCGTCAGCGGACAAAGCGGCGCGATCGTCGAACGGTCGGCGCTGTTGAAGCTTAATGAGCCGCGATTATGCACGTCCTGTATATACAATATCGGACAGGCGAAAACCGGAACTTGAGGCGTCAGATGCACCGGCAATCGAATTATCGCGATCAATTGTTTGCGGCGGTTCGCTTAATGCCATGCACGTGCCACCAGGATGCTGCCGCAATCGGTCGACTCTTGCCAAATATCGCTTGACGATCGGTCTCCTGATTGTCCTTCTGATTTCACTGCATCTGACGATCAGCGATCAGCGTTTTGCACTTTCGAGCGCCGCGTCGAAAAACGCGATGGAAAAGACAAGAATCGCGTCTCCTCGACGCAAATCTCTCGGAAATGAGACGTTGCAAAATTTCAATATATAAATGTTCACGCTTTTTCCATCCTCGCTCCTCGTCAACTTTGAATTATGCCATCTCACTTGTGACGTTCGCGCGATGACGTCTGACCACGCAATCGACTTTACCACTGACGAGAATTTTTGCGGTCGGCTCGTAGGTATTCCGGATGTTTGGCACGCTTAATTAAATTCTCCGGTGAATATCGTGCGTACTTCGTCTATGGACACTTGGCGGCACGTTATTGACTACGAACCCTCCTTCCAACCAAAGCCCACTTTCTAAGATGCCTCGTGAGAAATGTAGTTTTATTGTGCAACGTATCTCGGCCGGACAATCGCGCAATTATTATCGCACGACTCGCGATGTGCATTTTCTTAGGAATTTCACACGATTCGACGTAAGATCTATCTGAAATGATCTTGATTACGTATCTTTTCTCCTCGCGTCTCGAATTTTCGCTTATTTATGTCGGCGCGAAAGTGACAGTGCTTTAAGAATCATCGTCAGGCTTGAGTAAACGTAAGATTGATGTGCGTTTAATGGTGACATTCGACCGCTTAGTATTTCATTTAAAAAGTCATGTATTTTCTCGACGAAATCCATCACTCTGGTATTTGCATTTACGTCATCATCGTGTCGAGATTTAGTAGTTGCGTGTCGTGCCGACTATGTAATCATATTGGCCATTACATTGCAACGAATCGCATCGAATAATCTCTTTTTAATCGCCCTTTGGTTTTGGGAGTTTAACGATAATCGCTCGATTAACACCGTCATTGATGTAGATACGAATTATACACGAACTGCGTTTACGCGATGACATTCGCAATCCGCAGCGCATACTCTCACTGATATGGCACACAATATTTGCAGCAACCCTCAAGTTCACGGCTCGTCGCTATCGTCATCACTATGGATTTTCGCTTAACGCGAATAAATTCACTACGCTCACGAGTTTTATTCTATTCCGTCAAATTATCACCATCGACGTCACTGATCGGCCTATTCCGAACGAGTGTCGTGACATCATACACGATGTTAGATACGCATGCCGGCGATTATTGCGTTGCAAACGCAAACTTCTAGAAGGTACCGCATTTTTCAGTCATGCCAGCCGCGTCGCGGTCGTCCGCTAATCATCGGGATCCTCGGAGGACCTCCTCTTTGACAGGTCCGGCACCACCGTAATCCACTCTTGACCGTTCACTCTCGCGTCTTTAATAGCATGCGACAATTATCCACGTCGACGACGCGTCGTACGAATTCTCCGTCGTCGAGGTGTCCTTATCGTTGTTATCGTTATCGACAAAAAAAACTCGGACACGCCGCGTTCACCACGTTGTTCTCGCACGCTCGTCCACGCGCTCTCCCTCCGAGCCCATCATCATCATCGTCGTCATCGTCGTCGTCGTCGTCGTCGTCGTCGTCGTCGTCGCCCTCGCCGACGACGATCTCATCATCGGCACCGTCTCCCACGGAACGTGGATGTACACGTCGCTCGTGGAAACGGCTCGCGTGTCTAGGTCCACACGTCACACTCGGAACCACCGGGTGGCTCGCCCGGTTCGCACGCGTGCGAGACGACGAGTCACGCTGGTAAAATTCCAGCCCGGAATATATAGGTTAAAACGTCGCCACACCGCAACGCGGACACCCGGGAGCGTCGGACAGAGACGGAGAGAGCGAGAAAACGGAGAGAAACAGTGGGGGGAGAGAGGAAGAGAGAGAGTGGTTCGCCGGTTTCTCCTCCTTCCTCCTTCCTCTTGCCCGGGGAGCGGCTATGGCGGCGGCCTGGCTCTCACTGCTGCTTCCCTCGATGCGGGGTGACTTGCGGGGGTGGTTAGGCGAGGGGCGAGAGGACGCGATTATCTCGCAGCATCCCCTAGCGCGCAGGACCAATCCGCACGGAACCGGCGCTTGACGACGGTGGAGGGTGCATGTGGGTTGGTGGGAGATAGTTGGGAGGGAAAGAGAGAGAACGAGAGGGGTAGAGCTCGGGAAGAATGATAGATGAAGAGAGAGAACAAGGGTTGAAGGAAGAGGACACGGCGCGAAGAGTGATATCGAAGAGAGACACTCGCAGCGGTTGAGACGAGAGGGAAAGGGACAATGACGGGAAGGGGAAACAGAGACGGATCCATGATAGTTGAAGCGAGGCGATGTGAGATCGAGAAGGTAGAAGATCGAGGGTGAATCGGGTGGAAGAGGGGAGACGAAAAAGTGCGTGTAAAGGCTGGATAAAGATGGAGCGAGAGCGGAGCGTGCTGATGAGATACAGACAGGGATGACGATAGAGATAGCTCGTAAAAAGAGACGACAAAGACGGGCAGCGGTCGAAGCGAGAGGGATGATTTGAAAAATCTTCTGAAAAATCGAGACAGGGTGTTGTACAACGTAGCGCACGAGGCAAAACGTGAACGGAAAGAAAGTGAGCAGCGGTGAAAGGCAAGTCGAAAAAATGCGTCGATCAAATAGAGGCGAGCACGAAGAAAGTCGACGGATCGCGCGGATCAAAATAGGGAGGAAGAGTGCATCTTCCCGAAAGATATAGTATGTCGCAGAGATCCGGATGAAGGTGGTCTGGAGGTAAAAACAAGGAAGTGAACCGCATAGGATTCCTAATAAAAAAGGATGACTCGTGTGCCAAACAGACTGCACTCGTCACGGAGCTTCAAATTCGATGCGACGAAATATGAAACATATATGCGAGAACGTAAAATAGGAAAAGGGACGAGAGCGAGCGGAACGATAAAGTTCAAGTTCGATACTCGTCGGGAACAAAGTGCGACGATATGAAAAAAATCGACAGCACTATTGTAAGAGGAATGCGGTTAAATGGAAACTAAAAGGGTTGATGTGGCATACATTCATTTTAGGCGCCGTTGAAATTTGTTGAAAAGAACGAAGAATGCATTTCCTCGCATTTTTATCGATACGTCCTCTGTGCGCGATATGATTATTAATTAGTAAAATACGAGCACACATGCATTTTTTGCATTTTTTCGAAAGATTATATTGCTATTTATTTTTTACTAGATTACTGTCTAATATTATATTTACAGTTTTATTGTTTCCTCTTTTTTTATATAATTTAACAGAAAAATGAGATTTTATCTCTTTGCATGAGAGAGATGTGTTACAGATACGTTTGCAAACGCATATTGTGTTTGTATGTAAATCCATATAAGATATCATCATGAAAACCAAGACCTTCTGAATTGATATATTCTGTGATAGACTCGGAGCAAATAGTAGGTTGGAACAAGAGTGTAAAATATGTACAATCATTTATCATCAGAAACCTTATTGTCTCATCTCGAAAAAAAATGAGCAATATCGGAAGTTATCAAAGTAATTACATTCTCTCTTTTTCTGCTCTTCCCCTCCCTCCCTCTCTCTCTCTTTCTCTCTCTCTCTCTCTCCCGTAACAATTTATACCGTGTACCACTTAAATATGCATTTATAATCGCGTTTAAGCGCGCTTAATACTGTATACTCTAATCTATATACCTTAATATACGCATAAGACCGAGCACATAAGGGGTTGTGTGTGTCTAAGCCTGCGTAAGGATAGCGCCATCCTGCCGCGGACCCCTGCCGAGATAGATGAAGAATAGGGAAGGGATCGAGCCGTCCTCGATCAAGAGTATCCGTGGAAAAGCGCTGGCGATGATGCATCGTTGGCCGAGGGTTGTATCACTTGGATCGGCTTATAAAATATTCATGAAGAAAGTTTTATCGGTGGAATCGCGCGAGAGAGAAGTTGACTCGAGTATGAAAGTGTCGTTAGAAACGCTCACCTGTCTCTTTTTCCCTTTACGCTTGCGTCTTTTTTTCTTCTCTTTTCCGCTCTGATGCCTTGTCAACGTAAAATTTCTGCGCGACTTTAAGATCGGTGCGTATTTATATTTAAATATATATTAAAAATATAATTTTCATTTCTTACAAACATTTTAATTATTTAACAGGAATATCAATTATATTTTTTAATTACGGAAGGATTAAAATTAAAGATTATTCGAGACTTTAATATATATAAATGCAATAAATCAATTCAAATTTTGATAGAAAATTTAATTATTAAAATATTAATCCGTAGAAATTTTTTTAATTATTAAAATATTTATATTTTACAATCATTTTGAAAATCTTTGCTTTTTCATAAAAGGATAAATTGGAATACTGTCAGAATATAAAACTATACATGTATATAAATCTCTCTCTAAATAAGAAACGTTATTAATCTGCCGGATTGCGATATAATTCCTTGCTTGTTTAATAACAAAATGCGAAACGAAAGAAATAGAGTGAAATAAACGTAGCTGCATTTATATAACTACACTTGTAAATTTATTTCGAAATTCGAGATAAATAAAATATGTGTGTGAGTGTTTTCTTCTCTCTCTATCTCTATCTTTCTACGTGAAACGCAATTCTCGAGAAGACAATATTATTGTTAGCACCAAGTGACGGTAAAAGCAATTATCTCCCAACACCCTCGTGAGTTTGCGAAATGGAAAACTCGCGTTCGCGTATGCACCGATGCTCGGAGAGATACATCGATTGCGTGCACAAACGTAAACGCGATGCAACGAGCGTGAAAAACAATCGGTAGATCCAAGCGAGGTGCTTGCCGTCCTAAAGTATCGTTCACATAAGACGTCGTTGCACTATGTGTGTGTATCTTAGGCGATTGGATCCCAATGTAATTGCATTTTATTGAAACATTGTTTACATGCACCTTCTGGGACGCGATAACTGCACTTGCATCGCAGACTATCGCGCGTGTCTTTCTTCGTCCGATATTAAAACGAGCTAAGAATTTCTACTCTTTACATTTCTGATCTTTACATGAAGGACACTTAACTGCGTCCTATCTTGGCGCGGGTGATCCATCAAGCCCTATGGTAATTAACGAGCTACCGGTGAGCTTGTTTCCGATTCGTCGACGACTCTAACCCGACGATCGATTAATCATACGCTATTCCAATTATACTCTCGTGCTACGCGCGATATCGTCTAGGGTGAATTCATTTTTCAGCGAAGCTCAGGATCCGGGCCGGATCTATCGATTGCTCCTCATCGAGCATCGCACTCGCAATTAGGGACCACTCGCAAAGTACATAGAAACGACTGATGATGGAGGAGGGATGGGAAAGAGCATGGGAAGAGCTCACGGATGCTTGGCTTTATGTGCACGTACGATCATTTCTAACGTTCGATTCTCGCGTTGCTCTTGTTTTAGGACGTGAATTGAGACTCCGATGCGTTTTACCGAAACACCCTCCGATGATGCAGAGAAATATCATCTCATTTAAAGTAAATGTAAATGCGCAGCATTAAACTATAATACATTTTTAAAGAACGATAATGCACACACATAACAGGTTGCTGTTTTATATAAATAAGTGCTCTAAAGCATACTGTTATAATCTAAGTTTTCTTATTTTTACAAATTTTATAATACGCAGCCAGCGGATGAAAGCTTTTAGCTGTACCAAGACTTTTATGTATATTTAGATTAATTTTAATCATTATAGGGGGAGGAGACGTAATATTTAAATAACGTCGAGCTGTAGAGATATAATCTGTATAATGAAATGCATTAAAAGTATTAGAAACACAAAAGTATAAAATTACATGTATCTAATAACATTATCATAATTTAAAAAATACTGATAGATAAACATATATATATATATACATATATTGCCATTATCCACTATCGAACGATTAAATTTCCGAATAAAATTCTCAATTTCTTGGAAAGAATCGACAGAAGTGTGTTTTACATATTTTATAAAGCCAGTATTGGCAATTCCTTGCCGGACAATTCGTTTACTCGCTCGTTAATCACTTAACCATCTTTTGATTTATCCTCGATACGACAGAAATACGTTCTCCGGTTGCATTGAACGCTTCGCTCCGTTGTTTAGAAGCAAAGCTTCGTAGAAAAGCTTCTTTCCCGGAGGCTATCCATTATATGGAGTTACAGGTAGTTAGAGGCAGTTCCTATTGTAATCGCCGCATCAATAATTCTCAGCAAAGACTTTACCACCGAGAGACAACTACCTCTCGGCGTTCTAAGAATACCCCGCTACCCCTTTCTAAAGAGACGTGTGCTCTTGATTAAAACCATCCCTCTCTGTTGTTTTTCTTCATCGGTATTGTAAACAGTGCCTTAACAAACAGCTACGTCTCGTCCCAGAAATATCGAAGATATCGATGAGGCTGATCTCTCGCACGGTATCGATCTTAAAGGCGCTCGAGAGTAGCTTCCAAAAATAGGAAGCATAAAATATACGCAGTTGAGTCAGCTTAAGTAATTTCATGAAAAATCACTGTGCTCTTTAAAATAAAAGCTTCTTTTTCTGTCTCTAAAAACATTTATTTCTCTTTTACTTCATTATTTTCATATCCTTACATTCTCAATATAAATTACAGTAAAGTATAAAAATTGTATAATTCTTTATAATTTATAATCAATTTTAACATTTAGATTGTTAGAGATTTTAAATTCAAAAATTGATTTACGTCAAACTTTAACTTTGAGTCTTCAAATTCGATAATAGCTATAGACCTCAAGAAATTACATTTTTTTTTTTAATCATAAGAATTTGTTAGTATATTTAATGCGATATTCTTAGAATCTCCCGAAGATTGACGATTATTTCTCCCACATGCTCGAAGTCTTACGGAGGCGTTCTCGCACACAAATGGAAATCAACGTAGCGTAACGTCTCGACGCCGCCGATTCATTTGATTCATCGTGGCTCGATCAGCTCCTTCATGAGTAATGGACGATAAAGGTGACGCGCGTATGTGGAGGAGTTAAAAAAACTCCATGTCGTAGTAAATTTGTCGCAAACGTCCTCGTCTGGCTAAGAGACCACTTTGCTTAATACACCAAGTTCGATTTCTGCAAAACGCAGTAAAAAGGCAGATTTTACTCGTTTTACTTACGCGTTTGCCGTAGATTCTCTTTCGAATATGTGAAGTTAATTTATTACATTGTCAGGATAACGCAACTTTGAGCATCCGGCTTAGCATAAATTTATATCCGGCTCTCTTTAAACTTTGAAATGTTTCAAATCCCGATTTGCACGTACATTTCTAAATTATGTGCAATTTATGTTGCGAATTATTAAATTTAATACAAAAACCCGGAGCATTCTCTCTCTTTCTCTATCTTTTTCTGCCTAAGTTTGAAGATTTTATTCCGAGAAGAATTTCCAATCAATTCATATTCATTAAAAAAGTTTTAACCAGCGGAGAAACGTGAGAGTTGGGTGGAATAAGAATATCCGTGTACCTTTTTTCTATTTATCCGTCGAGATATGCGTATGCTCCGAAAAATATAAGCCATTTTCCTATCTATATAAAATTGCGCATTATTAAAAAAAAATACATACAACATTTAAATTGTATATTAATATATAAGAAAAGAAGAAATTATAGATAGTAATATATTTTTTATAAGAATAATATTATATGTTGTTTCTTCATGTCTTATCAGCGATCGCATATCTCGTTTGATTTTTGGTGTCTAATAATATATCATCCTCGTTTCTCTTTCTCCCTGTTTTTTACTGCATGCGCCGAAGCAATGTTTGTTCTCTTCCCTTTCAGTTCTTCTCCATTTGCAGACCGCTCCTTGTGAAACGAGTATTTATCCTGCGCGCTCTAGCGATGGATATAATACGTTCGTATATGAAATCGATATTTATGAATAAGGCATTCAACTCTCGCTCGGACGGTGATGAGAGACCAATATAGAAACAGTGGTTGATAGCTCAAGGCTTGCTACATACCTCGGTGCTTTCCCTCTCGCCCGTTATAAGAGAACGTTCGCGCACTCATCGATTAGTTAGCGAGTCGATTAATTCGCTCGCAATAATTAGCTGCCTAACTTAACTTATTTCTATCAAACGTAGAGTCATTGTCGAGTTTATAGAAATTTAAACATTTATACAAATTTATAAAAATATATGTTAATGTAAAATTTAGAAATATATAAAATGTAATATGTTATCAATCTTTGAAAATAGGGAGAGAGATACAATATTATATACATGTACGGTATTCAATGATGAATTGATTGGTAATAAAATATTAAGATAATAAGATAAAATACATTGATTGATTAAAACAATGTGTTTATAATAATAATATAAATATAATATAAATATAACAATATAATTTTAAGAACTCTATAGATTATTTTTAATTTTTTTTTATTATTGTATGTTATATTTATATATAGTATATTATATATTTACTATATTGTATATTATATTTATATATAATATATTACATATTATATGTATATTTTAGTATATATTTTATTAAATTGTATTAATTTTTTATTATTTATTAAAAAGTAGAATTCATCTAGAATTTGATATTTGATAACATTTTCTCTCCGTTATATTCGATGAGCAATGTTTATGTTCTCTCGTTTTCCATTACGCAAAATTCTCTTGGGATACGTAGCATCAGTCAAGTCGATAGTACAAGCAAATCGACTAGGTACTTTTCCATGAAAAACAAGCCAACAAGAATCTATATTCGGCCAAACGTATTTTCTTCGTATTCGGCCAAACGTATTTTCAATCATTCAACAATTCATTATTTCTTTAAAAATCTATTTTTTCTCCTGTAAATAATTAGCGACTGTTAACGACTTTGTTACAAACATAATTATTTCTCGATATGCTTGAGTTTAAAAGAGAAAAGAGATGATATATTTTATCTTTCTATATATTATTATATATATTAATATATATTAATATATATTAATTCATATATTATATTATTTAATTATTTTTTATAAGAATATGTTATATTAATTTTTGAATAGATATATAACAGAGAAAGTGTCAGTATATTTCTCGAAACAAAGTGGATTCAAATAAGAGAATTTATTATAAAATGATAAAGATACAAAATATATATCTAGAAATTTGAAAAGTTATAAGAAATTTAAAAGATATTTTTAAATGCATTATCCCTCTTCGCATATAAATGAACGCTCATTAAGAAGTAAATGTTTCCAAGTTATACTCAACTTCTTTTTGTTACTAATAACTACAATTTGCCAGAGTTTGTTGCCTAAGGCATAGACCCATCAAAACTCCTATACCATTGTTCACCGTAATTGGAACTTTGCAGAAAATCTTTCTTTGACAGACCAACTGATCCGGGGTGGATTTTCTAGGGACGGATGACGCAATTCCCAACTGAATCTCGTTCTGGACAGACAAAAAGAGAGTTGGTCCGCGGCCGCTGCAGTGGCAAGAAAAAGCGACAGACGCGAAACGCAAAGGGAAGTGGATTAACGTCGACCGCAAAGCTCGAGTGCCTCTTTAAACTTCGACGATGTCAGTCTATGTTGATTCAGAAAAGAATTTTCCTGAGTGCATTCGCACGGGCAATTATTCGTTATTGAGACTTCGTTACTTTATGGAATTTGCGAAAAAGAAGCGCGGTTGAAAAATGCCGTCATTGAAGAAAGGTAGAATAAAGTATGACAAGGTAGCACAATCTTTCCCGCAAGGCTTGCAAAAAAATAATGATCTCGACAATGATATTTTTTTTTAAATTGAACTATCATGCCGCAAAGTTTTAACATAATGAATTATGTACTCGAGAAAAACAGTTTTAAAATAAATATTTCAAATATTTCGCGCTAAAGTAACATATATAGAAGTTGGCCTTTGACTTGTGAATATCTGTATTATTTTAATACTATTTTTTGAAAATTTAGTCTCGTAGAAATAATTATATATAAATATATTACGTAACTAAATAATTCTCTTTCCGCGAAATCAATATACATTTCATCATATTATATGTATGTATATGTATATTATTATGCAAAAATATTAGCTTGCTGTAATTAAAAGGAATACGGATGAAATCATGCATATTATTAAAAGTAGCATACTCGTATATTTAAGCATTGATGAAATCTCTTACGATATATAGCTTCCTAATGCAAGGAGAAGACTTTTAATTACGACGCGGAATGAAATATGGCGTTTCTCGTTGACCTTTTTCTCTCGCTGAATCATATCATCTTTAGAAAAAATAACGGTGGATACGCAGCAGTGTTAGAGAAGGCTACACAACACAGCAGGTTTGAATCAAGGGAAAAGTAGAGAGACAGCCAGATCAAAAGTTATGACGGAGAAAAGAAGATGAAAATGGGAAATAAAGAATAACGAAAAAAATACAAGAAGTATTGAGGAATAGAAAATATAAAAGAGAGATGCAGAGATAAAAAAGAATGGACAAGACAGAGGAGCCGTCCATTTAAACGTGGTGCGCCGTGATAGAATTTTTAATGATTGACGGAATGACAAATTGTAATCTCCTATCGCATACTAATTAAATTGGATGTGGAAGAATACCATCAATCTATTATAACGATAGGTATTAAAATTCAACGCGACAAAGTGATCAGATCGCTCGACATGAGAGCTGCTTAAACACGTACATTCCACTATCATCATATGTCACTCGCAATATTTTGAAAATTTTAATCGTGAGTGCAACGTGATAGAGCGAAGAGGAGGCTCTCTAATTTCATGCTTCGCTAATAATATCGTGAAACTAGCACTAAGAGGAACTTTGACATACGTCGAGGAGCGACACTCGCTTTGAAAATTAGCGAGTTTTGAAAGAAGTATTGCGCCAATTAGTAGACAAAATATGTTGAAGAAGCAAAATACTATAGGAAAGAACTGTTAATATCAATTATTAATATAATTATATTAATTAAATAAATTGAAATATGGCTCAAATCATAATAATTAAAAATTAAATTCCAAATTGGCAAACAAAGCCAGGGAAGAAATAACACTTCCTTCTTTCTGATTACTCGTTTATTTAACAATAATAATTAATAAAAAAAAACGAATGTTTTAGATTATATTTGATTCCTCTTCGCGCAATATCAATAAAATATATTACAAAATATTAACTATTAAAGAAGGAAGTGTTATTTCTTCCCTGCTCTCCAATTACCGCGCTGTGGCTCTATTTGCCAATTTTAATTTAATTTTTAATTGTTATATAATTCATCATTAATATTCAATTAATATTCTAAATTATATAGAGAATGCACGGACCTCTCAAGGTTTTATTTTTCATTTCACACACACAATTGCAAATGCATATCACAATGCAATTAAAAATAATCTGTATAGATCTATATTTTATATAGATAAAGAACAAAAGATGTAAAAAAAGAGCGAAAGAAAAAAGATTAAGAAAGCTTTTCCTCTTTCATAAAAGTCAAGAGGATTGTTCCCATAAGTATACTATTTCAATTTCACCAGCAGAGAATAAATGTTATTATAGTAACATGGGAATATTCTCAACTTTCATTAAAAGAAAGTAGATTAATTAAACTTTTTATTATTATTGCAAATAATAGAAATATTTATAAATCACTAATGTAAATTTTAGTTATGCGCATATATTATATATATGTACTTGCTATTCTAATTGCAATTTAAACGATGAATGTCCCACGATTTTTCATGATAAATGATATAGATTTCATTCTATTGATGTATAGCATTAAATTCTAAATTTATCAGACATATATTGCATTTGCTCTTTGAATTACACAAAATCTCTCATTATACGAAATTGTTCCTCTGGTTTACCTATTTCTCATGATTAAAACGTCGAAGAGAAGAAAAAATATTGATTCAATATTTTCCAGAAATATCGTAAGTTCTCTGCGACTGAAAGTTATTTCACGTGTTTGAAGCGAGCCAAACGATATTCTTGAACATTTGATCAATTCGTGGGGAAGAAATCTCACGATCCTAAAACAGAAGGAACGGAATTTCTCGAGCCTCTTTTCTCTGCAAATTTCGTGGTTCGAACTTTACGCTGCTAATCTCATGCCATAATTTGCGCACGTGCCAGGTTTGATCGCGAATTTATTTTATCGCCGATATTATTATACTTCTATTACTCTTATTGTTCTACGATAAATTTCAATGGTTCAGTTTTTATTACCGTATTAATGATCGGATTAATTCCAGACATCTCGTTGATTAATAACCACATGATATTCAATTAAATGCTGTCGGGAACCGCGCTTTCGACATGTCGTTATTATTTTCTGACGAATTCTCGGGAAAATAGAAAAAAAAATACATCTTTACTCTCTGTTACCTTATCTATTATTAATTTTTCATCTTGCTTCTGAGTCTCTACCGTTTCTTGCCTTCTTTTTTTTCGAGAGCCGCAAGTACCAATAAAGATTGTAGTCCCCATCGGAGGCTTTACGTCATGCGCCTACCGGGAATCATTTTTAAATTTTCATCATCATATCGGTCGTTCCATCGATGTCTTGCTGTATCGTATAATGGCTAAGAATTTTAAGGAAAAATGACTAGCGATTTGACAGGCGGGTTGTCACGTCCATTTGCGCCTACAGGATAAGCTCTGGGTGGTCGGAGGAGATATGTCACGTTACGGATCGACGTTATCGCGCAAATCCTCGTGATTGAAAATTTTACGACAATACGAGACCGGATTGTATCCAAGAAACGATAATGCGATTGTATCTCGTAAGATTTGATAATATTTGCGGGATACAATACATCCTTCACGCGCCTTAATTCGATATCGAAAAATATTCCCCCGATCAAAATTTGCTCCAAGTGTAAAACACTTAAACAATCGCTATATTGCATCGAATTAAAAACGCTAAAAGAAAATATTGAGAAATTATATAAATATACTGTGGGATAGTTTATATTTAAATAAGAAGATTTATTTTTTTTTCTTATATTTTTTATCGTTACATTTACGTCAAACGTTATTTTGACTCAAATATTATGCGACTCGTGACATATTAAATGTCTCAATCTACATTGCGCAGGATATTTCAATGTTTTAGAGCTTTTGATCTCGAAGAAAAGACTGTAAGGGATTTCTTAAGTAAAAGTTCTAAAGGTTGCGACGAGATCGACACTTTTCCGACAGCTTGCCGACTATCCAATTACGTTGGAAGAAAACGGAAACGCAATCGTGCTAGCAGAAAGCAAGAATTCCATCAGCTTACATTCTCGTACGATATAACGCAATCCCCTCCTTGAATAGCGAAGCTCGTAGAGGAGAGAGTGACAAGAAAGATTAGATGGATTCTCATAGAGATTTTTACGGGAAAGGAATAAGTATAAAAAAGATTGTGAAACGCATACTCGGACTCATGTAAGTGACTATCAGCGTTTCGCAAGTAGAAGCGAATTGAAGTGAACTGCTGCTGTGGACATATCTTTATCGGCCGTTCGAGTTTATGAGCTTCTAATTCGGCCGTTTCTACGTTTATGTCGAATTTTGCCGTGAATAGCGTAACACACACACACACACCTCGTCCCTCTTTAATCAGAGCACATCTCTTAAGCGGACGATAGCTGCAGCCAGTTTACCTCAAATGGCAACTCGCAAGTAATCCAAACAGGTTGCTTCCGGCAATACCGTCGTAATAGAGTTGTCATAAATGACGCGAGGCAAAATGTATGATTAATTCATTTCCGGCTGTCGTATCTTGAGACATGATTAATTGCGATCGCACATGCGATAGTTGAACCGTATTTCGTGGACCAGGATGTTGAATAAGTAAAGTTTTATTAGGCTTGAACGCGATGTATGCCAGATGAACACGGATCCCTCGCGCATCCACTTTTTTCCCTGTAAAAAGAACAGAATAGGCAATTTTGTGGAGACAAACGGTCGGAATAGTAATCAGATAAGCGTCTCTCGCCGTTCCGTTCGACAATCCGATTCTCGAGAAAGCTCAGATAAAGCTGTTTGAAAGTCTTACGATTTCGTTCGCGCTGATCTTCTATTATCTTCTGGCGCAACCGACAGTCTCTATTTATCGAGGCCAGGCCAACCGGGCTAAGATAGGAACAAATAGAGATCGTGTACTAAATATGCATCTATATTCTTTAATTATCGTCTCCTGGGTTGTTGGAACTTTTTCCATCTCGTTTTCGAGGAAAATTTTGCGTCAGTCTGCGCCACTGAGAGAATCGCGAGATAAAGCTTTTATTCCCAATGGCACAAAGACTCCCGCTTTGCGGCTTGCAGGGATAACTAAAAGTTTCGTTTAATCCAATCGAGGGTTAGACACTGTAGAGGATAGTGCTCTCCGTGGAGTTAGTTTCTTTGAACATTTTCTTTTACTTGATTAATGAATTAAAAGTTAAATTTGTAATATGGATGATGGTCTTATGATCTTATATATATTTAATGCATGGCTCATTCGCTCTCTAGTCCGCAGAGTTTGGGGTGTAATTTATTAATCTTGGATGAGACATGAGATATGCTTCTTCTCCGGTTTTGAAAATGTTTTCTTAATTCGTATAAAGATCTGCCATATATATATATATATAATTGTATCATCTCAGAGTTTGACTTTTAATATAATTAAGTAACTTAAACTCTTGAATGTATTGTGATGCAATTTCAAACAAGTAAATC